CTGTGTGAGAACTTTGTAGCAATTTGTTTCTTTAAGGAGATTTTACAGCCTTGAAAATTTTATGGGACAGTTCTACTCCATCCCTGCAGGGTCACTCTGAGTCAGGATCCAATTGCTGGCAATGAGTTTGTTTTGGGCTTTGGTGTTTGGTTATTTGGTTTGTTTGTTTGGGCTTATTGAGATCTAGAACAGTGTCTGATACATAGTAGACATCCAGGCATATTGGTTGATTAAATGCTTTTTATTCATTTCTCGGAAGCATTTGATAATTTATATCCTTCTTGGGATAGTCTCTTTTCTTTTTAAATTCCCTCTACTCCTCTGCTCATCATTCTAAGCCTCTGTGTGAGACTCCTCTATCTTTTAACATTCCTTGAATGTTGTGACTGCTCTAGTTTAGACCTCAGCATTCTTGTCTCCTCATTCTCTATGTTCTGCCTCTATTTCAGTCTGAACCCTGTTGCTATAACTATCACACATATAAACCCAGAGAACTGACAAACCCAGATCTCTGTTTCCATCTCAGCCCTTTCTTCTGGATTCCAAACTTGTCTATCTAACTGCTGCAATGGGTGCCTGCAGTGACCATCCTCAGAAATCTAGTGCGGCTTCTTCTCAAACTCCCACCTTACTAATTGTCTTCCTAGCAAACACACTTCCAGGAATTGGGTCTGTTTTCCAAATCATGATAAAAATAACTAACATAGCTTTGTCAAGTATATCATAGGCATTCTTTCAGTCCATCTGATGACTCTTTGCAGCAAAGTATTCAATCTGCTACATAGGTGAGAAAACTTAAGACTCAGAAAAATGAAACAAGTTGCTCAACGTGACAATGCTTCTAATTTTTGACAGCAGTTGTGTTTAACACAGAATTCTAATCCTTTATGAAATTACACAATGTCCCCAGGTGGTGCAAATGGTTTGTTCTTCGCTATGAATCTAAAGGCTGGCAGTTCGAAATCACCTAGTGGTGCTGTGAAAGAAAGATGTGGCAAGCCGCTTCTGGAAAGATGACAGCCACCTAGGCTGACCATGAGTCAGAATTTACTCCATGGCAATGGATTTAGTTTGGTTTGGGCTTCTGAAATGATAAATGAACACGTCCATTTTTGCAAACAAATAAAAATTCCTTACAGAAAAAATTCATTAGCAAGACAAACAACAAAACAGATTTCTCTGCATCTCAAGGGCTCACTGTCATCTTGTGACATTCAGAAGACAGAGAAAGTTCCATCTCTAAATACTGTCTCTTCTGTCTCCTTGGAGAGTTCAGCTTTAACTGCCCCAAATGGAATTTCTGGTCATCCTTTCCCCGCTCAAGTCACCCGGAAACTGATTCAAACTCCTTCCTGCCCACCCCCTTCCCCACTACACAGCCTATAACCAACTATAGCCTAATAATGGCTTTCTAAATGTACAGTGTAGTGGTTACGAATCGGGTTGCGAACCTTAAGGTCAGCAGTTCGAAACTACCAGCTGTTCCACGAGAGAAAGATGAGGTGTTCTGTTCCCGTAAAGATTTACAGCCTCAGAAACCCTGTACAGGGTCGCTATGAGTCGGAACCGACTCCACAGCACATAAAAACAACAACAACAACAAATGTGCGGCATGTCTGCACAGGAAGCCACAAATCTCAAAATGAACAGGAGCTACTCTTGAGTCCTTACAGATATCTTAGAAGCAATAGTCATAGCGACCCTGTATAGGGTTTCCAAGGAGCAGCTGGTGAGCTTGAACTGCCAACCTTGCAGTTCAAATGGCTTTGCAGTCTGGCGCATTAACCCACAGCGCCACACAGAACAGATAATGCTGTTATTGTGAAGTGCCGTCTAGTCGTTTCCGACCCATAGCGACCCTGTGTAGGGTTTCGAAGTAGTAGCTAATAGGAATGGGCAAATACATGAAACAGCCCTTTTTTACAGCACTCTGCAGTTTTTGCTTTAGCAACATTGAAAATCATAATGCATAAGATGGTTCCTTTTGCTAAACCAAAAATCAGAACATTTCGTCTGATAAACCTGCGTGTCCTTGAAGGAACTTTGGGGCTAAATATTAGATTGCCATATTTGAAATCTGGACAGTCCCCTATATTCTATACAGAAAGGATTAAATACCAAGAATATGAATTCCTGTTTTGTTCACAGCAGCCGTATTTTTGAAGCTTTAAGAAAGAGACATCGTTTTAAACTTTGGAAATCTTTCAATACAGACAAACAAGCTAGAGGTTTGAGCATGCGTTTTGCATCACCTCTAGTTGAACAGTGAGCCTTAGACTCTAGTTTCTTCCCCAGGATTAAATCAGGTGTAGCATGCACAGCCTCTCACATGGCGGCTGCTGCCGAGTCTATCCAGAAAATTGCTGCACCAACAGCGATTTCCCTGTGGCTCTCCTATTTAATTGAATGAGAACCAGCAGGTTACTGGTGCCAAGACTGGAGGAATCACAGGCACACTCTGAGCCTGTCACTGTGTGATGCAGCTAATATACAGCCTTGAAGAGGAGCGCTCGATTCTGCTCAGGGGTAGGGCGCACATAGCTGTTCCATTCTGTTTGTTTTGTTTTTAACATGCTACAGTACCATAACTTTGAAACCAACATGTTTTGTCATTAAGATGGAGAAGAATAATGTTTTATGAGATTTATTTTATAAAGTAATTATGTATTCTATGAGCTCATTGTTTCTAAAATGTTAATACATCTTAAGTGGGTTTTTTTTGTTTTATTTTGGTTTGGTTTTTGGTGTTTTTTTTTTCAATGTTAACGGCAGGAAGTAATAGGAAAGTAGGCTAGGTGGGAATCAAGAGATGTTTTTTCCTACCAACATGTCATTTATTTGCTCTACTCATATGGAGTTTTTGAAGAGTATATGTTGTCACAAAATGGTTACAGCTGTAGAGAACGAAGAAATTAGTATACACAAAATGGTCATGAGTAAGTAGGAAAAAGATAAATACTGTTGTAAAGGTTCATTACGGCTCAAGAATCAGAAAAACATTAGTTTGTACCAGGTATTATTAAAGATTGTAACCAAAAAAATCAAACAGTTGCCAAGGAGCTAACTCTGACTCATGGAGACCTCAGGTATGTCAAAACAGAACTGTGCCCCATACGATTTGCATTGACTGATGTTTCAGACACAGATCACCAGGTTTTTCTTCCAAGATATCTCTGGCTAGACTTGAACCTTCAATGTTTGCAGTTTAGTAGCTGAGTGCCTAGACCATTTTTACCACTCAGGGAGGCTAGACAGAGTTAAAGCAAACCAAAATCCAGTGCCATCCAATCAATTCAACTCATAACCAGCCTGGAAGACAGAGCCTAACTTCTCCATAGAGTTTCCAAGGCTGTAAATCTCAGAATCTGACTGACTCCTCTTTCTACCACAGAGTAGTTAGTAGGTTCAAGTTACTAATATTCTAGTTAGCTATCCAATGTTCAACCCACTGCACCCCCAGTGCTCCTTTAAAGATAGTAAAGGTAAAGTGAAGGAGCCCAGGTAGTGCTGTAGGAGAACTGGACTGCTAACCAGAAGGTTGGCAGTTCAAGCCCACGAGTTGCTCTGCAAGAGAAAAGAGGCTGCATGCTCCATAAAGAGTTACAGAACCTCAGAAACCGGATGCAGGGTCCCCATGAGTTCAAATTGACTCAATAGCAGTGGGTATTAAAGGTAAAGTTAACTATCTGCTCTGAATGAGGTCATTCCAATCTCATTCAAGGAAGAGAGGCATTAAAACATATATTTCAGTTTGTTACTTAGTGAAGATACCTTTATTTCATATAATATAGAGTAAGTAGCAAAGCAAGCCATACCTCTGAGGGAGAGAAATTTGGAAGCACTCTACCCTCAGAGGTCACAAAGATGTGTAAAAATGTAAATTAATACAGACTGATAGATAATGCTATAAACACATAAATATTTATGGTAAGATTTTTCTTTTTGCTATTATATGAAAATGAATTTATCTAGTTCAGAGGAAGCGCAATATACCAAATACTTGACAAATGTTAAAAACAAAAGTTTACAGACATTAGTAGAGAAAATAAAATATATTAAATGAGCAAAAGAATGAAGGCATTTAACAGAAATTGATAGAAAATCAGTGAACAAAAGAATTTTAATATGGTGCAGAGTTTCTTTAAAATTTTAATGATAAAAAAATGTTAGTGCCTAACACCCTGTATGTGGTGGGAGGTGAGGGTAGAGAAGCAATTAAAATTAGTCTGCAACCCCTAAAACAAAACTTATTCTGCTTGACAAACAACTATATGCTTAGCTAATGATCCCCACCACATTGTATTTGTCTGAAACTTTCATCTAAGTTGCTGTCTGCAGGCTTAAGGCTTACACCTTTGCTCTTAATAAAAGGAAGGAGGCTACTTAACTAAATCTTTAAACTGTTAAAAACAATTGGTTTTACAATCACTTTCAAGTCCCCTCAGAGAAAACTACTACCAAAAAAAATCTACTTTGATGTGTTGGGGGCTTAATCAGACATTCTAGAGTCAACAAATGGCAAGGAAAAATCCCAATAAAACGTTTAAAAAAAAAAAAAAAAAAAAGCAAGTCTGTTTGATAGAGTCTGAGTTACGTGTTGGAGATCTGCCAGTGTTAAATAGGATCCAGTTGGTGTGGATGGAAGAATTCCTGGCTGCAAATCAGAACAGAAAATCTGACCAAATAATGTCTTTTTGAATATGTGACAGCTAAAATCTGTTCTCTGACTGTTAACTCCTGTGACCAAATGAGAAGAGATTTCACTCAAATATGGAAGGGTGAAAGAAAGTTGTCATTTCCATGTTCTAAAGAATCCAATTCATAAAACAAGCCGTTTTTCAATATGTCTATTATTGTTTGGTAATGAAATGTGCTCTTCTAGGAAAAAAAAAAAATCATCAGAAGACGTGCACCTCACACAATTATTAAAATCAAGTTTGAAATCCCATGCATATTAAAAAAGAAACATCATTCCTTTGTATGCCACTGTTAATTTTCAGGAAAAGGGAAGAGACTGAAACAAGCTAAGGAAGAAGCAATGGCAGAAATTGACCAGTACCGAATGCAAAAAGAGAAAGAGTTTCGACTCAAACAATCTACGGTAAGCAATGAAGTCAGCACTGATTTTTATGCAACATAAATTTTGAAAATTGCACTATACATAATGTCATGTAGAATACTGTTGTTGTTAAGTTACTCTCAGACAGGGTCTGCCTCTTTTTGGCTGACCCTCCACTTTATCAAACATGATGTGTTTCTCCAGGAATTGATCTCTCCTGATAACATGTCTGAAGTAATCCCACCTTCCTGGTTTCTAAGGAGCATTCTGGCTGTATTTATTCCAACACAGATTTGATTGTTTTTCTAGTAGTCCATGGTACTTTTAATATGCTTCTCTTAACACCATAACTCAAATGCATCAATTCTTGTACAGTATTCTTTATTCATTCTCCAACTTTCACAAGCATATGAACCTACTGACAATACCATGGCTTGGGTCAGGCGCAACTTAGTCCTCAAACTGACATCTTTGCTCTTCAGCACTTTAAAGAGGTCTTATGCAGCAGGTTGCCCAATGTAATACGTCATCCATCTTGACTGATGCTTCCATGAGTGTTGATTGTGGATCCAAGCAAAATGAAGTCTTTGACAACTTTTCTTCAGCTTAGGAAACTCTATGGGGCAGTTACAGCACACGCTAAAGATTATGTTGTTGTTGTGTTCTTAAGTGCCGTGAAGTTGGTTCCATATCATAGTGACCCTAGGAAACTCTATGGGGGCAGTTCTACTCTGTCACATGGAGTCATTCTGAGTCAAAATTGACTCCACAACATCTAAAATACCATCAATATTTGGAAAAAGAAATCCTAATCCCATACATACATAGTACATGCAGCCCTCCTCTGGCTACCTCTCAAACCACATTTCCTACCATCTGTGACTTGACTCATTCTATTCCACCGATAGTGGTCTTCTTCAAATAGACTGGGCATGCTGCTACCACAGGTTCTTTACACACACTAGTCCCTCTCCCCAGAATCCTCTTCTTTTAGATATATGTATATCTATTCAATTTCAGCTTATTCTGATCCCCTTATCTTGTGTGTCATAAAGGAGAATTTTATCCCATTGTAGTCCACAATTTTGTACATAACATTTGAGTGGCACTGTGGGTTAATGTGCCAGACTGCAAAGCCATTTGAATTGCAAAGTTGCCAGTTCAAGGTCACCAGCTGCTCCTCAGAAACCCTATACAGGTTGCTATGGGTCAGAATTGACTTGATGGCACTTAACAACAATACAGTAATATATATTTACATCTCTTACTTATTGCTTCACTTTCCTTTTAGAATGTATGTAGAGTAGTCCAGTAGAGGAAGGGCAGGTTCTTTGCTATGTTCTCTGTTGCTTTCCTAGATAATAGAAGAGTCTGGTCCATGGTACGTACTCAATAAATACCTGTTGAAAGAATGAATAGCTAAACATTTCTTCTCTGCTTTGTCTTTCCTATTGAATTCCACTCTAGTTATGGCAAAATAAGACCTCAGAACATAATAATCGTTAACACTAAGCAGGTTTGATTATTCTACGCAGCCTGCTACTTCTGATATGAAATTCACTTCTATTTTTAAGTAATAATACAACTGCATATTATTTCAGAAAATAGTTCGATTAAATGCCTTGAAATATTGCTCCAAAACAAGCTTGGAAATTTTCAACCTGGTTCAGAATATATGCTTTCTGCTTTGACAATAATTAAAATTCTTCATTGCTCTCACAATTAGCACTCTAAGCCACTTTTACAGCTAGTTGATCAAAAGTTTACATAAGGTCAACATGTTCGGGTTTCCACCACTTTAAACATAATGTAAAACCTTTGACACAGATCTCCCTTTTCTTGACATGACTTCCAAATGCCAGGCTTACTGGTAGTCCAGATAATTGTATCATCATTAACCCAGAGCAAGAGGAGGTCTGGGAGGAGACCAACAAAACCAGTTTTCTGCCCCTTGTGGATGCTGAACTTCAGTGTTATTTTGTTGTAGCTTTTTTGTTCTTGTTTTTGTTCATGTGTCTTTAAGTCCCTGGCTTACAAACAGAAGCAACTGTCCCAGTGTGGTGGAAGTAGTGATGGTGTGCCATGGAGTCAGTTCTGATTCATAGCAACCCTGTGTAAGGTTTCCGAGGCTGTAAATCTTTACAGGAGCAGGAAGCCTCATCTTTCTCCCATGGAACGGCTGATAGTTTTGAACTGCTGACCTTGAGGTTAGCAGCTCAATTTATACCTACTACACTATCAGAGCTCCTTAACTATTCCATTATAGTTTATATCAATAAACACTCTTTTATTAAAAATGTATATATATCTTGTTTATTATTGCTACCCACTATAGCATCTTCTACTGAAACGGTACTACATTGCTAGAAAGAAACGTGAACTAGAGTGATGCTGGTTTTGGTATGATGTGGAGTCAGTTCTGACTCATAGCAACCCTGTGTAGGGTTTCTGAGGCTACACATCTTTATAGGAGCAGAAAACCTCATCTTTTCTCCTGCAGAGTGGCTGGTGCTTTCGAACTGCTCACCTGGTTAACAGCCCAACTCATAACTCACTCCCTGTGGATGAGAGTGGGAAACATTAAATTCCTCATTACTACAAATAACAGTCGTTGTTGTTGTTAAGTGCTTTCAAGTCTGTTTTGACTCATAGTAACCCTGCGTAGAGTTTTTGAAGAGTAGCTGGTGGATTTGAATTGCCAATCTTGAAGTCCATCCTGACCTCGTAGTCCAGTGCATTATCCTTCAGTGCCACACCAAGACTCCACTAACAGCAGTTGTTGTTGTTGTTGTTACGGTCCGTGGAGTCAGCTCATATCCACCCTGTATAGAGTCTCCAAGGAGCAGCTTGTGAGTTTGAACCACAGACCTTGCAGTTGCCTTGGGCATATTAAATATTTATATATTATGAAGTCATTCTTCGTGTATTCACATGGTTAGAACATCTCATGTCATTGAAGCAATTATAAATTGAGAGTGCAAAACTGTGCACGTTGCTCAAGAGAGTGGACTCTGAGCTTCTGATGGGCTTTAAGCTAGGGCATTTGAACAACTTAGAAGGAAATTTAATGAATGTGAAAACCCGCTATTTTGCAGTTTTGAGAGTTCACCAACACCATAATTCATCATGTTATAAAGATATCCACATCCATCTCAAAATAACAGTTTAGAAAATTAACACAGAGAAATCCTTAAATGGCCTCCCTTGACCGAACATATAATTATGCCATAGAATTGTCAACCTCTAATCTATACAGGGAGTCCTGGTGTGGCGCTGTGGGTTAATGTACCAGACTGCAAAGCTGCCTGGACTGCAAGGTCGATGGTTCAAGCTCACCAGCTGCTCCTTGGAAACCATATACAGGGTAGATATGGGTCAGAATCGACTCGACAACACTTCACAACAACAACAACAACAATCTATACAGGGAGTCCTGGTGTGGCGCTGTGGGTTAATGTACCAGACTGCAAAGTTGTCTGGACTGCAAGGTCAGCAGTTCAAGCTCACCAGCTGCTCCTTGGAAACCATATACAGGGTTGCTATGGGTCGGAATCAACCCAATGGCATGTAACAACAACAATCTATACAGAATCCTGGTGTGGCGCTATGTGCTAATGCATCAGGCTGCAAAGTCATTTGAACTGACAGGTTGATGGTTCAAGCTCACTAGCTGCTCCTTGGAAACCCTATACAGGGTCAATATGGATCAGAATCAATGGCACTTAACAACACAACAACCTATACAGTGTCCTGAATGTTCAGGTAACAGGTTTCTATCAACAAGAGCAGCAGAAACCAGAGAATGAGATACCAGTAATAGCTGAATTTTCCATTCAGTTCAACAAACACATATTGTTCATCTATTATGTGCCAGTCATTGTTGGGAGCACTTATAACACATCCATGAACAAGCGGATTCAGTTTTTGTGGAGGTTAAAAACCCATTGCTATCAAATCAATTCCAACTCACAGCCACCCTGTAAGACTGAGTAAAACTGTCCCCCATAGGGCTTCCAAAACTGTAAATCTTTCCAAAAGCAGACCATCACATCTTTCTCCTAGGAGTGGCTGGTGGGTCCAAACTTCCAACCCTTCAGTTAGCATCTGAATGCATAACAACTGCACCACCAGGGCACCCTTGTGGAGTTTACTTACCTTCAGTTATTTATCCTACATGTGTTTGAACAAACTCTGCCTTAATGTGCAAAGGTATGAAATCCAGACTCCTCACAAAGAAGGTCATCTAAACTAGGTGGTTAATCATTATTATAGTGCTGTCTAGGAAACATGCTAAAAACTCAAATAACTGGACAGCCCATAATCTCAGAAGTAATCTTGTACATAACTATGCAGAATGAGATACTTTTTGATTGTGTGGGATTTACAAGGGCATCACAAGTTTTCTGAAAGTGCAAAATGGATTGCAAAACAAAAGAGCGCAAACAGCACCATCAGTAAAAAGTCTTGTTGTTGTTGTTGTTAAGTACCATTGATTTAGTTCCAACTCTGATTAGGGTTTCTGAGGAGAGCTGGTGGATTTGAACCACTGACATTTCAGTTAACAATAGTTGAGTTTTTATCCTACAGCGCCATACTAATAATCACTGTTGTTGTTGTTGTAAAGTGCTGTTGAGATGGTTTCAACTTATAATGACCCAGATAGGGTTTTCAAGGAGTGGCTGGTGACTTTGAACCACCAACCTTGTGGTTCAAACCAACCTCATGGTCCTGCACTTATTCTAAAACACTATACCAGGACCACTAATATTTACTAAATGCTTGCTCAGGATCAAGCTTTTGTGAAAAAACCTATATTTATACTAAGTTATCTTCAGAAATTTCTTACATTGTCTTGGCAATACACATTGAGTTCACAGCTACTACATCTATTGCACTAGGCCTATGCTTTCTAATTTAGTGTACAGCTTCATATGTGGCTACTGAATATGTGAAATGCAATTAGTCCAAATTAAGATTTACTCTAAGTAAAAATAACATACCAGATTTCATATACTTAATGTGAAAATATAAAGTAATAATTT